TGACAATGCTTATGCGGGGTGCGTATTCAAATTAGTCCTATTCTTATGCCCCTCCATAATAATGGGTGGTCGGTCTGACCGCGCCGGTGCACGGCGCCTTTGTCATGCAAATTAGTCGTCTCGCTCCTCCTCTGCCTGCCCCGTCGATACGCGTGTGTGTGGGGTGCGTTTCAACCGCGGTGGCCGAGTGGCCCCTCGCCGCGACCATGCAATCTTAATGCCGGTCACAGCACCGCGGTGCGATTCCCTGGCCGCAGGAAACCGTGAAGATTATCCCGGTAAGGGCTTCTCGGGTGAAAACCGGTCAGCCAGGTGACCTCCCCTCGGAGCGCTATGGGGGGGAAATGCGTGCGGGTGTGTCTATGTGAGGTGAGGTGAGGGGGAAGCGGGGCCGGCTCCGTCGCTTGGTGGTGGCGAGGTCGTAGATGGGGCGCCCGCCGAGCGGCTTCATGGCGGCGGCATCACAAATGCAGGTGAGTGGGTTTGGAGCGCAGTGCGTCAATAAGTGCGTCAGTGGTCCTCTCCAACAACACGCGTGCTGCTCATGGTTACGTCACGTAACGGTGGTCTCAGTACATGCGGCTGTGAGATTTGGGTTACGTGAAAGTCTTTATCAGATGATGGCGAAAAGTGATTATAATTTGTTTACACAAAGGACTGGAAAGCAGAGGTCAGAGTCTGATAAGGCAGGGCAGGAAGTCAGGAAGGTTACCAGCCCCTCACAGCACTGTGCAAATATCACCATTTTTTTTTATTTAACCAGCTCTTTTTAAGAAACGACCTGGCCATTAATGATGGCTCAACGAAGTGACTCATCGTTTGGAAACGTATAGTAGTCAAATAATCTATACGCATGTTTGTAAATGTAGAAGGAAAAACCAGAGGACCCGGAGAAAAATCCACTAGGGCCCGTATTGCATCCACATTCAGGTGGTGTCAGCGAGACATGTACATCGGGCCCTCAGGATGAACAAATACTCTGAAAGCACCATCCGCCAAGCTGTTTCTCCCACCATACAGAAACAGCCACTTGAAACTCCGATCAAAACTGTCACGTTACCATACATAGCAGGCGTGACCAAAAAGATCTCCAAAATTCTAAACAAACGCAAGATCCAAGTCCGATTCAGTACAGTACATAAAATCCGTGATCTAATTCCATCTGTGAAGGATGTCATCCCTGACTTGCAATACCCTGGAGTCTATAAACTGAGTTGCAGCTGTGGTGACTGTTACATTGGGGAAACGAAACGTCATGTCTCTGATCGTGTCCGCGAGCACAAGTCAGATTTGAAACACGGCAAAATTGAGTCTTCCGCCGTTGCCGATCATTGCTACAACGCGGTGGGCTCTCATGAGATTGTTTTCTCCGAGACTAAGGTGCTCTGCAAACCCTCTGGCTACCATCAAAGGTTTGTACACGAAAAAACACAGACATAATTTCAACCGTGATGATGGGTACAAACTTAGTAATCATTGGAAAGATGTTATCAACCATGCAAAAAAGACTTAATTACACATTTTTGGACCATCTTATCTGACAGGCACTATTTTACTTTACTTTACCGAGTGTTAACATCCCCAGTGTTTAACAGTACTCTCTTTATTGTTCAGCCAGCACTGGTATAAACATGGGCATTTTAGTTCTTTTCTATCATGTGTATCAACAGGTGCTTGTACATACACATGTCCACGTACACTTGCACCCCACAATCTCTTTTGGCCCCCCCTCCCCCTCTCCGTCCAATACGTTGGCGTGTGCAACAATAGTTGCTTGCGCACAACCACGTCCACGTCGCCGACTCTCGTGTACCACTTCGTGCATTCTTTTGGCCCCGCCCCCGTCCCCCTCCCGATACGTTCTACGTAGCACTTTGTGCCTTCTTTTAGCCCCGCCCCCCTCCCTCCCGATACGTTCCATTCATTGGCTACCATATTCTGATGAGCTCCCCCCCCCTCTCCTCCCCCCTCAACTTGCATTTAAGGGATTACATCTTGAATCCTTGCCTCACTTGATGCAGCAAATCTGGCTGTGACTGTCCCACCTGATGACGGAGGCTTGTGTTGCCTCCGAAACGTCGTGATTTTTATTGTTTTATTTTTATTAATTTCATTTTTTACCTACGTGACTTTACCGAAAGAACATAGAGTATTATGTTTTATTTTTATTATTTTATTATTTCCATCCTACGTGACTTTACCGAAAGAACCAAGAAGATGAATCCCTGCAGTCACGAAAGCTTTAAATAGAGATTAGCATGTTAATAGGAGATCGCAGAGCAATACCCCGGCATCTACAAACTAAGCTGTGTATGCAGCAGTAGTTTCATTTGGGAAACTAAGCGACATGACTCGGACTGTGTTCGTGAACATGAGGCAGATCTGAAAGACGGTAGGACCAATACCTCGGCTTTGGCAGATCATTGTTTTAATGTGGTGGGCTCACGCGAAATTGATTTCTCTAAGACGAAGGTACTTTGCAAGCCCATTGGCTATCAACAAAAAATATTTCATGAAGTTATCCATTTTCTAGACACAGACACAATTTCAACCGAGGAGATGGGTACAAACTGAGCCATCAATGGAAGGACGTTATAAACCAGATTAAGTCATAATTGGTTATGGTGTTCCCATCCTACCACCTTCCCAATGTTAGTTGTGCTTTACTCCCATTTCAAACTTGAGCTTTAACAGTCACTTCGCGCGCCAACCCCTTGGTTGCGGCTCTGCGATCTCCATTAACATGCTAATCTCTCTTTAACATGATAATTTTCACCTGGCAGCCCTTTGATTGGTAGAAAACCAACCACCGTCGGGTTGGCTGCCTACCACTTACATTATCATTGGCTGCTGACATTTGGGCTACGCCCATTTCAAACCCTTATAAACAGTTTGCTTGGAAGCTACCCCCCCCCCCCCCCATTTTCCTGAAGACGACTGCTTGTGTTGCGATCAGAACGTCGTAGTTTTTTGTTATTTTTTGTTATTTCTTTGAACCTGTCTACGTGACTTTACCGAAAGACCCAAGAATATCAATTCCTGCAGTAACAAAAGCTTTAAGTCAAAAGCCTATCACCTTTATTTAGGGCTGCAAAATTGGAGATCACGACATGATGTGGGCCCCACACATATGCTGTAACACTTGTGCAACATATCTTTGCCAGTGGTTAAACAGGAAAAGGAAATATATGCCTTTTGCAGTACCAATTCTTTGGAGAGAGCCAACAGATCATATCAGCAATTGTTATTTCTACATGGCTCCTCCAGTGGGGAAAGGTGTGTCAAAGAAGAAAAAGTGGACCGTGCATTATCCAAGCATTCCATCAGCTATATGCCCAGTAACCCACAGAGAAGGACTACTGGTTCCTGATGCACCAGAATCATTCTCACTTGAGTCAGACGAGGAAGAGGATTAAACTTCTGGTCCTGAACCATCAAGGTCACATGACCCAGATTTTCTCCCATCCTCCTCTGAACCACACCTCATAACACAAGGTAAACTAAAAGACCTTGTCAGGGATTTGGAACTACCCAAGAGTAAGGCAGAGCTGCAGCAGTGAAATCTCCTGGCAAATGGAGCCCTTAATTGGCAAAAGTAATTGATTGGTAAGAGGAGCCCTCAAAATAAATGGGCAGTCAAGAGAGAGTTGAACCAATAGTAATGTAGTGTTCTTCACGGAGGCACACACTTCAACTTGGAGGCAACACGTTTATTACACGGCCTCGACAGGGGTACTACTTAAACGTACACAAGTTAACTAGACCCCAACGGGGTAACTACATAACCGGGTCAGTCAGTAACATTCTGACTGACCCACGTTGCCGAGTGAAGACCGAAGATCGAAGAGACATAGCACCGAGGGTTGATTCCAGAGAACAGCCCTGATCAAGGCTCGCGACTCGGCCTTTATGGGCCGCAGCGTGGCCGGGCTCTACTGTTGGCCACGCACCTTTTCCAGATCTTTCCCGAAGACTCTGGCCCCTACATCACGTGTCCCTCCCCCCTCCTTTTGGGCCCCCCTTGCCACCTCATCCGGTCACGTGCCCTCTCGGGGTCACCCAAACTGTCATGCCCTAGCCACTCCATTTATGTCACTACAGTAACATAAGACACGTGGATGCAGTGAGACAGTAGCAGGGTGTGCAGAACGATCACAAAATCATCGTGCCAGAACCATGTTTAAATGAATACCACAATCGCACTGCTGAGACTTGTGTCTATGACGGAGATGTGTGCATTGGCCTGGTGTTGGTGATGATGAAGTTCTGGTGCGGTTGATGGTTCCCCTCGTGTCTTCCAGGAAGATGAATGTCAGAGCAAGGAGATGGCGAGATGATGTTTGGGTCTGGAATGAGGAGGCAACCTCCAGGGATCGCGAGAGTAGAGGTGCGCTGCTAACCCGAGCATCACTTTACTCCACTGTAGACTGGGCAGCAGAGAGCCGACTCGCTATCAGCATTAACAACCTTTATCTCGTCTACCCGTGCACCACGGCATGTGGGGATTGTTATCGCCACTTTGCATCTTGCGTGGAAACATTTGGCTTGCGGGAACATTTTTTTTCCAAGTCACCCTCCCTCTACCCTTCACGTCCCCGGCCTCTCCCAAAGACAAATATTTCCACTATAGCCTTGCAGAGACTGTTGGGGCAAGTGCTGTTAGCGAACACCTATGAAGGCTAACATGGAACACGAGGGGGGTGGTGCAGTTAGCAATACGCCCGGTCGCCTTTGTCTCCCCAGTGGTGACGTTTACGTCTTGCACCAGGTACTCATTTGAGGCTGATTCGACCTAGGAAATGCCCAGGACCTGTTCAGATAATCGTCGCTGGTGTTGGCCGTGAGGGGGAATCAAACTCGTGTCGCCACGATCGATGCGCAGCTTGCACCCCCCCCCCAACCCTCCCCTACCACTCACCCTCCCCCGCGTTACCTCCCTTATAGTTTGTTGTTTCCATGAGCCAGACCGACCAGAAGTGAGTTCACGGCAGCCTCCCTACCAAAGCAAACCCCTTAATTTACGTCACCTCAACGCAAGTAGAAAACGTCGCAGGGACTGCCACCAGCGAGGCTCCCGTTCACGTGGGGGCCCCATGCGTTCGCTTGCACGAATGCTGCGCCAAGGGAAACCGTGAGCCATGATGATGACGGCGGGGATGATGGTGATGGTCGTGATGGTGTTACCTGTGCGTACAGGTGGGTTCTGCATATCCACTCTTCACACGGAGCGATCTTGGTTGGTCTAAATTCTCCGTTTGGTGCAAAGCGTCAGGGGTCAGCAACCTGCGGCTCCGGAGCCGCTTGTGGCCCTTCAAGGGCCGCTTCGTGACGTTACTTATTAAGCACCACCACTCTCTCGTATTCGCCACGCAGTGGCATTGCGCCTCTTGAAACATTGAAGGGGGGTTATTACCGATTTAATAAAAAAAAAGTCTCTTATTATTTTTGGTTGCCGACCCCCTGGTGGAAGTGATTCTGCGTTTGTTCGATGGATTGGATCGACAACCGATCCGCCATAGATAGGAACGTGAACATTCTCACCACTGGATTTGCAGGGAATGTACGCTGTAGATGAATGCCAATATTTAATTGCTCAATTAATCAGGAAGTCACTTTGCCTTATATTTAAACTTCGAACATGAGTGTTATTAAATTAACTGTGTATATTACTCATTATCAGTAACGTTATTATCATCATCGACAGCATCACCTGCCGCATCAGATGGTATCGTTGCATCTCTCTTATCCCCAGCCATGATCAATCCACTGATGAGTGAACACATCTCTCTCCCACATGCCACCAAATATCCGTACCTCAATCGACCATCTCTGCGGTGGTCGCCCTCCTGTCTATCGGCTGTACGCTTGGAGGACTCTGTAGCTTGCATGTGGCCTCGTGTGTGTTTGCTGCATGTACACAGTGCAAACTTGTAGGTGTGCATGAGTGGGGAGCGTTGGAGCAGCAGTTAGCGCGTTGCACAACGAACCCGTCGAGTTAGATTCCTGCTCACGGCGAGCACCAGGGACGAGTATCTGAACTGGTATTGGGGCCTCCCCTAGGTCGACTCAGCCTTACATTAGTATCTGTGATTATGTACGATGTGTAAAAATTGCCACTGGGGAAACAAAGACGGTCGGACGTGGTGCTGGTCACCCACCCCCTTCCTGTATCCTGCCGATCTTCATTGATGCCTGCTAACAGCACTTGCCCCAACAGACTGTTAAGGATATACGGGGGATATTTGTCTTTGTGGGGAGCGGTGGCACAGTGGTTAACACTGCACTCTGCAACAAACCCGGCAGATACCCAAGTTCGATTCCCGCTCACAATCAATCACAGAGATAGCTAATATCTTAACAGGTCCTGGGTGTATACCCTAACTCGAACGAGCCATTCCTGAGGGCCTGATGTGGTGTGTGTGAACACGGGCATGGTATTGACCAACGCGCCCTCTCGTGTGCCGGAGGTGGTGCTAATCGTGATCAGAATTTACCCCAACAGTCTGTTAAGGCTAGACGGGAGATCTTTGTCATTTTATTGTCATGCGACCACCTCCCAGCGAAAGCCTTTGACAATCCACGTGACCTATCTGGGCACAAGCACCATTGTTGCTGTGTATTCACCTCTCTGTGCAGTTGAGTAATTTTATGGCCTGTCCATAGGAATATGGAGTTTCCACAGTTGGTTTTGGGGGTGCCAATGTGCAGGTTATCGCCGCGCAAGTAAAACGTGTTGTGGAAGAGCAATCTACACACACGTAACAATTGGGTTGTCCGACGTTTCACTGCTAGATATAACCCACCATTATCTGGCAGTTACCAGCGAAATGTCGGCTGACAACTGTCAAATGTGTGTATGTTTGTGGTTCGCTCTCCAACATCATTCATGGTCGTGCTGATGCAGTCATACATTGGCACGTGGGATTGTTCATCACGTGTCATATTTATTCAGAATCAGAATTTTATTTAGACTCCGATGAGCCATGAAGCTTTTTTTCACAGATGTCCAGTAGGGAGGTCAGCAAGTTACAACAGCACAATACAAACACACGAGAAACTATACCAAAATAAGCACGTCACTAAATATATACAATGAATTGAAACATAACAATATGTATATATAACTCCGATTCATCAACACGAATTGCAAGCTTAGGCAAGGTAGTCCCAGACCACACCAAGGCAAGAACACGCAGTAGCAGTCCCTCAATGCAATGGCACATTCAATTGTTACTATCGATATATAAGTATGGATCAAAGTTACAAATCTTATTGGGAAATGTGACTGAATTCAACAAGCATCGTTGGATGGAGTCAGGTGGAGAAGGGTCCACGACATACACAAAATATGGATCATTACCCATAATAGGCGTTTTTGGGTTCGATCGTGTCAATATAAATGTGTCGTTAAACCCGTCACCACCAATTCGTTACTAGTTCAGCACACCGGTGTGTTGGAGAGTAAACCCACAACATTTACCATTGGAGTACGACGTTTCATCAGTAATTACAACTAGCATCATCAGACGATATCGAGATTTTTCGAGAAATTCTCCTGTTTCGGTCTTAAATTGAGGGATACATACGATGTGGTCACTTGCGAGCCAATCAGGTACGAAGGCCAGAGGAAAGGGGGGGGGGGGGGGTAAGGTGTACAGATACATTGTAATGGATATCAATTACCGTGTTAAAATGGATAATTGTATTGGGCTACGTAAATCGGCTTTTTGCGATGGCTTCAGCCTGCGCTACGTTACCTGATCCACGTGATCCTCTTCCTCTCATTGTCAATCCCAAGACCCATTGTCAAACCCAAGAAAACTAAGACGTCCATCTGCCTTTTAACTTTCCCAAGAAGACTAGGAATGGGTAACAAAGCCTTTGGCATTGCAGCACCAAAGTTTGGGAACAACCTTGTTTCCTCACTTAACATCGTAAATATTCCTTCAAAAATATATTGGAGTGGAAGATCAGTTCTGGATACAACCACATTTGTAATGTGGTTTGTAACTTCGAGCTTTACCCGTGTATCACCTCTCGTTTAATGTCAATGTGCCGTTGTATTGAGGAGCTACTATTGTGTGGTGTTGGCTCGGTGTGTCTGGGACTGTTTTTTGGGTGTTGCTGCCTTGTCCAAGCTGGGAAATTATTGTACTTATGCAATTTGAACGTATATACTTTATTTGTATTTGGTTATTTATGTTTTAGTGATTTGCTTACTGTTGCTATACTGCCACTTCTATCATTTGTGATGGCCAGGTCCCCTTCTGAAAAATAAGCTAACAGCTCAGTAGCCTTTACCTGGTAAGATGCAAAAAATTAAGTTTACTTTTATTTGTATATTTTGTTGAAGTATTTTTTTTTACTTTCCTGTACTTTGTACTTCTATCGTGGTTTTGTATTGTTTTTTGTTATAATGCTCTGACCCACCCCTACTGGACATCTGTGAAAAATAGCTTTGAAGCTCATGGGATTTCACCAGGATCAATACATATGTAGTGACATCAGGGATGTCACTGCATGGTGCCGGCCCAGGAGGGGTCGTGCCGTTCGATGTTCCTACATCGTGGACAGCACCGTGTGGGTGGCTGTGTGTAATACCAGCCCTAGCGGGGCTTGGCGAGCACTAGGATAGTGCGGATCCCAGGGGCAGAGTTGCCCCGGGCCATGGCATTCTGGTTGATCCCGTAAACACGTAATCCGGAATGTCCATACAGGAGGCCCCAAGTGTGGGGGACTCAGGGGTGATCACGTGTCCGGAGAGAGCTCTTGTGAAGGATCGAGAGGGAACGAGAATGTTTGGGAAGGCGGGCAGGGCCGAGGGCGGGTCCCTGAGTGGGACCGAGGTGACTCTTCATTCTGCATGCTGAAAGTTACGCGTCTCAAGCTGGAAGCGTTCCGGGCGATGTAAACCGTCCTACGGGGGACCACGTGGTCGGGGACCCGAGCGAGCTTCCTTTTTTCCCCTCTTTTGCTTTATGCCATCAAAGGTTACGTAGCCACGGTCGGGGTTCAATTCACAAGAGACGAGTCGTGGGTCTGGCTCCCATCACCGTGAGGAGTGTTGTTCTCTTCCCATTCCGTAACCATCCGCTCTGGCGTTCCGCAAGACTCTTCTAGTCTTGTTGCCTCCAACATTGTAAACCTCTTCTTGGTTCTTTCGGTAAAGTCACGTAGAAGGGAAGTAATAAAATAATAAAAATAAAACATAATAAAATAATTCCCACGACGTTTCGGCCACAACGCAAGCAGCCGTCCTCAGGTGAAAACCAGGTCTGTCGAGGCGACAGCATCTGAATGAAACAGCACCATGCTTGGAGCATATATTTAAGCTGGGTTGGAAGGGGGGGGGAAGGGCGCCTTGACAAAATAATTTTCATATCAAGATGAATTTAGCATATTTATGGTAAATGCAGGTATGTGATTAGTACTACTCATGCCCGTGCATTATGCAGGATTAGCAGCATCAAAGGGAGGGGATATGGGAAATGCAGGTATGTGATTAGTACTACTTATGCCCGTGCATTATGCAGGATTAGCAGCATCAAAGGGAGGGGATAGGGGTAGCATTAATTAAGGGAAGGAGTGTTAATAGTATGTAGCTGCAGTAACTAAAACCACCACGTAAACTACTAAAGTATAAACTACATAGTATCATCAGTATACTAAATATACTCTACAATACGCTGAGTTACTAACAGTAAGTAATACATTACAATTCTACGTCGTAAAAAAATATAATATGCTTCCATCTAAACTTTATTCTCTTACATCACACGAGTCTACACCATACTATATACTGCCATAGAAAAACCCAAAATTCAATTATATACTGTATTGCTATAAACCACCTTATACATTGTAATATTACACTATGTATTATTCTACCCACACTAATGTATATCACACTGCTGTATATTCACTATACAATTACGATACTATATATTACTTTGTGCATTGTATTAAGCATATCAATTTTATACTATTTGTTATTATACACTGTACCATTGACCGTCGTGTGAAAGATACTAAGAGGAAGCAACGAAATATGTCAATGGGAGAGTAGTGAAAGGAAACTTGCAGCGGAGCAAAGAATCCATTCCCTGCGGAGAATACAATGCCAGTGAGTGGAACGCGGTCTGAAAGTCACCGTAAACGTGAACACAATCAGTTAAGATCCGAAATGGTTTATTACGTCCTTCCAATGATTGCTAAGCCAGAATCCATCTTCTCGGTTGAAATTGTCTCTGTTTGTTTATGTGGATCGCCTCATGAACGAATCTCTCATTGTAGCCAGATGGCTTGCAGAGAACCTCTGTCTTGGACAGGTCAATATCATGTGAGCCCACTGAATTGTAACAGTGATCTGCCACGGCTGAGGTGTTTGTCCTACCGTGTTTCAAGTCTGCTTTATGTTCACGGATGCGGTCCGAGACATGTCGTTTGGTTTCTCCAATGTAACTGCTACCACAGAGGCAACTTAGTTTGTAGACGCCACGGTACTGTATGTCTGGAACCACATCTTTTACAGACAGAACCTCCCTTCAACAATGACTCGATAATCCTTCGCTCACAATCTCATCCACCTCTTTGCATAGCGAAGAGTCATCACGAGCGGTCGTTTTGGAGAATATAAAAACCAAAATAGATCAGCGGGTAGTCTGCCTCATCTTTCACATATCTGTTTCTCCACATACAACAAACATATAAACGCATTTCTTATACATACCATCACCCGCACACACTGCCGTTTACCAGTTCATTACTTCAGCAGCATTGATTCAAGACAAGCAAAACTCTGCACCAGTTTTGACACAGTCACTCATCAGCAGCATAATCAGGTTTGCTTAAATTATGTCCTAGCCCATAAGCTCTGCAGTTCCACCAGCATTGATTCAAGCAACGTTGACTGCTGAAGAGATGCACTATTTCAATGTCGCTCCAGAGTTTTCTTGACTTGAATCAATGCTACTTAAATGATGCATGCTCAGGAGTCTGTGTGTGCGGCTGATATGATGTGTAAAAGTTATTTTTATTCATGTATAGAGAAAGTAGGTTAGTGATGTAAATACTTATGTTGATAATTAAGTGTAATTTCCCAACTCTGTTGTACAAATATACACACTAATTGAAATAACAAATCCAACCAAAGACAAACAACGATTACACGCAAACATTTTATAATATTAAAAGAACAAAAATATTATTTTAAGAATCGTTAAACTACTTAAAGGATTATAACCCATTATTACACAACGTGCATGAAGGAGATATGGTATAGTTTAACATGCATTTATATAACCTTTTCGTAGGCTAGGCACGTATGTAATCCAGCACTGTGATCCTGCACTGTGATTCCTTCTCGTGCACGTTACACGTTGAGATTATTATTATGACCAGGAAAAGGTATATTGAGACTAAACGTAAGTGACGATGTGTTAACAGATGAACGGTAAATAGAAGTGGAGCGAATACAAAACCTTGCAGTTCAACTCTCTGTGTTGTTTATACATTTCAAAGCACAGTATTGATTGAATTCTAAACACACTCTATGTCTCTCACCGTGAACGCAGAGATGGCTCATCTGACTCTGATGGAAGGACAAGATTTGAGACTGGCATGTCATTTCAGAGTGAACAACACGCTTGGGTCTTCTCTACGTTGGGAATACAAAGCAACGGATATCCTGGGAAAAGCAGAAACTGTGAGTGTGAAAACTTTCATTTGAATCGCTGGTTATTCGGTGGATCAATTTTGCTGTTGAAGTCGAGGTCATAGATAAAATCTGCCATTGCATTGATGCAGAACTAACAACTGTGCTTTGTGACGACGAGGATCGGTCCCATTATAACACATATTGGGAAAATCAATCTCTGACTCAACAACTTCGCATCACCCGTGACTGCAACAACTCGTTCGATACAACACCTCTGTCTTGAATGATTGCGCCAACGAATGTGCCCAAAGCAGGCATGCATTGGCACAGTCAGTGAAAATTCACAGACTTCAACGCGACCCAACAGAGCTTGGTGGAAAAATAACTTGGGTAGGAATGCAATTCTAGACGTATCGGAACATGTATGTACCTCAATTGGTCCCTATCACTATATCGAAATGCATAATTGTTCATGCCTCACTCAGTGTTTATACACTTGATTGATTTCACACACCTCTTGTCCTTACAGATCGTATTCTGCAACGATGAATTAAATCCTCCCTGTTATGTTCAGCAATCATTTTCACGAGTGGAGTTTTCTGGAGACTTGAAGAGGGGGAATGGCTCCATCACCATCAAGAGAGTCACCCTCAATGATAGCGGCGTCTATTCATGTACAGTCAATCATGAGAAAGATTTTTATAAGACAAGGGTGGAGATCTTGTATACCACAAGTACCTGCAAGTAAATTGTGAATACAACATTCTGACACCAGTGCCTGCTCTAAATGTGTTTATCCAAGACCATTTACGTTACAGGAAATGTTTTACTTTAAAATGGATGTATTTTCGTGCAGTGTTCAAGATTTATCTCTTAGCGGAGTTGTTTTTTGCTATATCTGCTTCATTGTTGTTACTTTATTTTATTGTGGTTGCATTTTTGTAACCCGGGTAACATTTGCTTGTGGTCTCTTGAGTTCTCACCTGGTTAAATTAATTCACTTTATATAACATTCATTCAGCCAGGAGCTTACTCGCAGCAATAAAATGACAACTGTTCCACTTGTACACACATTAAGTATTCCTGCTCATTTGAGCTTACAATGAGATAGATCCGGGTGTGTGTGGGTGGGGAGGTGAGGTCTCTGTAATGTCTAGCCAAGTGAGACTGACCCGAGTGATTGTGGGTGGAGAAGTGAGGTGAAGTGTCCCTGATTCGAGGCCACTGCGGTGACCCGATCCTTTCCACTGCTAAAGCAGCAGGCGTGTGCTGACACTCTCCTAGTTAACACAACGCCATCTTCATTCGTCACGTGTGGCTTTTGTATAAATCACAAAGATGGCACAAAACAATGGCTGTTGGATCCTGCGGATTCGTGCAACTCCCGCTGGCCGCAGTGGGCCCGTGAACTCCTCTGCGTAAACTGCCGAGCCGTCTTCCCTCGTAGCCGTGGGTGTTCTCTGGGTATCCCAATTTATTCCTTACTAGCGGAAAGTACCCGGCGTTGCCGGGGTCTTATAAATATTTCTAAACTACTCTTCAAAATCTAACAGTAGTGCGTACTGACTGTGGTGGTACCTGCTATGATTACAGCAGTGCCTATCGTGGTGGTACCTGCTTTCACTGCAGCAGTGCATACTGTGGTGGCACCTGCTATGATTATAGCAGTGCATACCGCCTGTGGTGGTACCTGCTATCACTACAGTAGTACATGCTGACTCTTTATCAGTAATTATCGACTCTAAAGCACAACGTACTCACCTGACAGAGTGGCGTGGTGAGGCCTAGTGCCGTGCAGAGCCTGCGGCATCACCTAGATTGTCCAGTCGGCTGAGGTGGCACCTTGGCAGGCTGGGGCTGGGCTGCTACCCCTGACCCCCCCCCCCCCCAGCCACGATCTCTCCGGCCGCTCTGCAGTAATATCTATGGCATATAGTGGTAGCATCTAGCGACTGTATATAGTAGTAACTGCACACATCGGAGTGGGGGGGATATCACACAGTGAAGATTTAAGCTCAGCGTTTAGTGTATTTTTATAGCATTTTTCACGCGAAAGAAAATGTCCCCCTCACTCCCAGCGAAGGCATGCGACTTGGCATGGGCCGTCCCCCCCACCAAAGGAGCTTGAGTTGGTCGTGCCCGCGCATAAAATTATCATGTGTAGATGAATCAAGATAATGTAATTGGCATGTATAATATATATTAGGAAATACTCCCGTTCTATAACCAAGCTCCATCGATAGTAGAATAAGTTGAAATCGAGATATAGGGCAGTGGTTCGTGAACTGATGAGGCTCACACGACTGCCAAGCCATAAATTACTGGGGCTAATGTTTAGCAGAGGACTAATTAAGCAGATAAGTGTCATTAATGTAGTACTTTAATTAAATTTATGTATTTATTTTATGACAGCTTATAACTTCGAAGAATTATGTCAGGAACGATAATGATGATATAACGATATTGTGTAGTGAACCTTACACTGCATGGGTGGGTAAGCGCTGCCCTCCACTTTAAGAAAGAACTCAGCGGTAGCTCTGGGATATCTGCTTCCAAAGACGGTTTTCTAAGACGAAGCTTTGCACGGCTCTGTGTGAGTGCAGAATGTATTATTCATCTCACGTGAATATATATTATATTCATATATTTTAAGTGGGAATGGCGGAAACAGCAAGCTGCAGTCCGACTTACGAATCCAGTTCTAACCACCACCACTACTTCTGAACACACGTGTGTGCCCGACCTGCAGCAGAATCTGGCAATCCCAGATCGGTCTCTTCAGCCATCTTAGGACCCACAGATAATCCAAATTTATATGGAAGACAATCATCCTTCATTGCAAGGGATGGTATATAAATATCGATCTTAAAATCAATCAATGAGTTTTGTCGAAGAATAATCTTGGCTCGGTCTTTGGGTATATCGATAAATGTGTATATATATGGAAACACCCACTCTCATATTATTTGCCACTGATGTTGGCGATGGTCTGGAGTCGAACTGAGGTTGTGAGATGTGTGCTGCAGAGTACTAACCACTAATTGAAACCAATTGCAGGTAATTTATAATGTTAAATTTCAACACATTGGCGGGTTTTAACGACACGTGTATACTCTTTGGTTCTTTCGGTAAAGTCACGTAGGTATAAAATAAAATAAATAAAATCACGATGTTTCGGGTGGGACAACCACAGCAAGAAACAGGGCTGCTGTAAGAAGAGGCTATATAGATAAGAGAGGGGGGAGGAGCCAGGGAGGCGAAAGGGATTAAAGGGCGAGCACGGCAAAATGCCGGGGGTGGGGGGGGTGCTATATAGGTAAGAGAGGGGGGGGGAGGTAAAGAGAGGGGGAGGAGCTCCTCCCCCTCTCTTACCTATATAGCCTCTTGTTACAGCAGCCCTTTTGCCCACTTCAGCAATTGTTTCTTGCTGTGGTTGTCCCACCTGTTGACGAACGCTTGTGTTGCGCCCGAAACGTCGTGATTTAATTTATTTCATTTTATACCTACGTGACTTTACCGAAAGAACCAAAGAGTATCGATCCCTGCAGTCACGAAAACTTCAAATCTAGACACATTTATATATTTACGCGATCTCACCCAAAAACCTCTTATGTATTGTGGACATTTGCCATGTCGGATTTCCAAGTGAACACCTCAACGTAATGGTTAATTTGTATCACCTCCAACTAGCGCTAGTGACTACGTACGGTGTGAAAGAAATTCAACATACACGTACATAACACAACTCCAGTAATGTTAATATATTTGCCTATCTCTGGTTTTGCAGGTGCAGTGACAGCTTTCTTGACAACAGTCAATCATAGGGTGACGACCAGAGAGGAAAGCCATACCCATAGCATATACCATTATATCTTGTCCACCTGCATAGCTGGAATCATTATCTCCATCGTCGCTGTGGTTCTTATTGCCTGGCTGCGCTGGAGGAGAAGGAGGAGGAGGGATGGGGCTCCTACGAGCGTGACAGACATCTACGGTGACTCGAGGGGCGCTTCCCTTCCTAGCCTACACGAGAGCCCAGGATGGGCCACAGAGATTGGCGAGCTGCAGCTGTATGACGAGGTGGGTGAGCGGCATATGTCTGCATTCCCTCTCTTCCACAGCACAGCTGAGATGTGCCAGTGCTGTGCCGAGCCAGCCCGGTATGTTTCAGGAGGCGCCAGGTTGGGTTTTTTTTCCACTGCAAAAACCGAGCCATGCCGTCGACCTCACCGTGGGCGCCACAGTGGCGAGATATTAACTACCTTGCCTGGTATAAAGGCGGTATTGGGTTAGATCCCGACACTGACGCCTGCTGTAAATTTGGAGTATGCATGTACTCCTGTGGTCGCGTGGATTTTTTTCTGGGTCCTCCCGTATTTTCCCTCCACATTTAGAAACATCCATTTATAGTAGTTGGCTGCTTTAAATTTCCAAGTGATAAGCCACTTTTTTTAGCTTTCGTTTGTGGTCAGGTTGCTTCTGAAATAGAGCTATATAGCTCAGTGGGCCTTACCTGGTAAAAATATATTTTTTTAAGTGTTGTACGAAATTACGTCATTGTCACCGCTTGGAACGTTAGGTGGCTTCTGCAGAACTGGGAGGTGCTCTGGTGATCTGTAACAACTACTGGGGCTTCTCTTTCCTCAGTGTGGTGGAACAAAAAAAGGCCTATCTAAGATTATTAAACATCGTTGTGCATGCACATTATGTATGTTCATTACCCTATGAATAACACAACCAAGAATATATATCAATTGTAATTTATATAATTGCATTAACCCTGGTCTGTCCATCTCATATACCAAAGGTGTAGTGTTTTCAACAGGAAGTACATCTCTGATATATCAATCTGGCCAAAGAAAACGTTATAGATTTATATTGAAACCGTTCCAGAGTGAGGTTATGTTTAACCGATGTGATTCACAACATGAAGGCCAACAGGCCATACAGGCTGATGGAATGTGTAAAATTCTATTTTTAAAATTTTATGTGGAGAGATACAAATTGGAAAGAAATGTTCATGGCTGGATATTAATTTTGTCTGGGAAAATGCTGGTGAACAGAGTAGCACAGCGCAGACACTAGAATAAACAGCTAATTTGAGACCCAAACATTGCACACCTCACTTTGACATTCCTCCTTGAAGACAGAAGTTTAACCACTAACGGTATCATAAGAACATCAACAGCCTGATGTGCACATCGCCTTTATGAATGCAGCATTTAAAGACAAGCAATTATGGATATGCAACTTTATGGACCATGTCGGAAACCACTGTCGTCTGCGCTTCTTTAATGCTGGAATAGCAAAAATACTCTCTCCTGAAGACCTGTTATGGCCAGCAGACCTCGATATTTAGTTCCTGACCATATTGCTATTCACAAGAATAGAATACAATAACATTGATTTTGTTATTATATTCTCCAAAATAATGCAGTTTATTAAACTAATCTATTTTATTTAGCAGGTAAAGCCCACAGCTATTAGCCGTTATTCAGAGGCAACCTAGTCACACGTGGTAATTTACATCTAATCACATGTTTATTAATTTGCAGAGAAAAACCGGAGGATCAGAATAAAATTCCATAAGATCACAGGGAGAGCATTTAAACTAAAAATAAAGACATCAGGGTCGCGGTTGAACGCACAACTTCCTGTATACTAGGCACGGGAAATGACATTTCGCCACTGCGGCACATTTTTATTTAGGCTCATCTATGTGTAGAGATTGTA